GCAGTTGTTTATAATAACTATATAACGTATTACCTTCTCCAAGAAGTTTGAGTAAGCAAGGCTGGAAGGGTTTATATAATAAGGCACAAGAAGAATTTATTTGTGGGAAATCTTTTGCTTTTACAATCATACAAGGATCATACATGGATTTCCTGACTGCGCATGCCAGTGAAGGCAGAATTACATCTGATTAGTTCAAACACATCTACCAGCAAATTAAACATAAGTAGAATCAGCAATGCTTGGAAGAGTGACTGTTAAATATGCATCTCAGACCATCTTCCACTTTAGAAAATTGATCCCACTTGCTACATGTTCAGTAAAATCTCCAGTGACTTGCCAGTAAAATATTGTCCCCCAAATGTATTTATTCTGTATATTTTTGTACTCTACCAGCTCTGTTCAGTTTTTAGACGGCTTTTAGGCCCATTTTTAAGACTAAACCAAATACTTACCTGAGATATAAAGAATTTTTTGGAAACATTATGAGCAACGGACAAGTATGCAGTGATTAAAGGGACAAAAGCTTTAACAACTACTCACAACATTCCCTTTCCTTGTGAAATTTAAATATGTCACAGGAAGTTAACAATAATTACCAGATTTAATGCATGCTGAACAGAATCTTGTTTTCAAGAGAAAGGATGTAACGTGGAAGTGCATCCATCACACAAATATCCCACTGCATGATATGTTAACTGCAAAACCTATGTTTAGAACTCTAGGAACTTCTTTGATAATACCTTGTATTAGTTAGGAAATCCTGAAAATGAACATCTGTGCAAATCTGAAGCTTTGAAAAACAGTACTTACCTAATTGAAAAATATGAGAAAAGGAAAACTGGCAATATGGACATGTGTTCTCATGTATCTCTGACATTCTTTAAATAGCATAAAAATGTACTGTGAATAGTTTAAATATTAAAAAAAAACACAAGTACGATTCTATATATGTGTTTGAACATAAATACATATACACGTTTATGTTCGAGTATGCATATAAACAAAGACGTTTAAAACTACCCCTTTGCAAATAAAAGAGCAAAGAGCATTTTGCTCACCATCCAAGTCTTCCAAGATTAACCCGCTGCAGCCGCTGAACAATAGGGCACTGGATGCTTCAGATGAAGAGATTAAGGTGATAACAGGATGGGCACTCTGTGCTTCAGAGGAAATTTAAACACGAAAACGGGAGGCTCTGTGCTTTGGACAAACAGGCCCTTAGATGCATTTCACGAAGAGTTTTAATGAACCCCGCTTCCCATACATAGAAAATCCCTATAATCATTAACTTGGGATATCTGTTCTTTGTGACGAGCAGTGATCTTTTACCAAGATACATTTGACTGCACGTGTTCCCTAACAACAACAACAAAATCACATATAAAGTAGCCTCCCCCCACCTCTCTGGAGCAGTTCCTCAGAGCTATCCGAAGGCTGTCTCTGGGGCTACAGTCCTCAGTAAGACCCTGAATAAACCTTAACTCACACCTCTCATGTTGTGCATTTTTCTCTCAGTTGACACCTTGGATCACTGCATAAGTCTAGTAATATGAATTACTGCAAAATTATTTTATGGCTCTCATTACAAAAGAAACAATAAACCGTAACCAAAATTAGAACTAAAAGGCCACCTATCTTCACAGGACAATGAGCTTGTCCTCTACAAGCATTATAACAAACTATCTTTCAGTCCTGCTCTCAAAGGTATCAGCAGATAGAAGGGAATCGCTGAAGATGTTAGGGAAAATACATATATGGCTGGAGCTTCAGCTTTTAGCTAGATTAACCCGAAAAAAAAGTGCTTAGGAAAAGAGTCCAGAGATTATCTGACAGGCGGTCAATGGCTACGGTTTGAAGTCAGGATGTCTGTCTCTTCCTAAAGCTTTACAAAAACGAATGACTCAAGTTAAAAGAATGGCTCAGCATAAAGAGCTCCGGAGAGCCTTCCTCCCGCCTCGCCCCAGCGGTTC